AACGGAGACAACAATGCCACATACAACAATGACAAAGGTAACAACGATGGAGACAACAATGCCACAGACAATGATGACAAAGGCAACATTGACGAAAACTATTATGCCACATACAACAATGACAAAGGCAACGACAATGGAGACAACAATGCCACCGACAACAATGACAAAGGCAACATTGATGGGAACAATTGTGCCACAGAATACAGTGACAAAGGCAACGACAATGGAGACAACAATGCCACAGACAACAATGACAAAGGCAACGATGACGGAGACAACAATGCCACCGACAACAATGACAAAGGCAACATTGACGGGAACAATTGTGCCACAGAATACAGTGACAAAGGCAACGACGACGAAGACAATAATGCCACATACAACAATGACAAAGGCAATGACGACGGAGACAACAATGCCACAGACAACAATGACAAAGGCAACATTGACGGAAACAATTATGCCACAGAATACAGTGACAAAGGCAACGACATTCAAGACAACAATGACAAAGACAACGACGACGGAGACAACAATGCCACAGACAATGATGACAAAGGCAACATTGACAAAAACTGTTATGCCGCATACAACAATGACAAAGGCAACGACGATGGAGACAACAATGCCACCGACAACAATGACAAAGGCAACAACGACGGAGACAACAATGCCACAGACAACAATGACAAAGGCAACATTGATGGAAACAATTATGCCACAGAATAAAGTGACAAAAGCAACGACGACGGAGACAACAATGCCACCAACAATAATGACAAAGGCAACAACAATGGAGACAACAATGCCACAGACAATGATGACAAAGGCAACATTGACGAAAACAATTATGCCACATACAACAATGAAAAAGACAATGACGATGGAGACAACAATGCCACATACAACAATGACAAAGGCAACGACGATGGAGACAACAATGCCACAGAAAACAATGACAAAAACAACAATGACGGAGAAAATTCCACAGACAAAAACAACAACTGCGGAGACAATAATGCCACAGACAATGACAACAATGACGGACGAGCCAATGACAAAGACAACAATGCCGCAAACAAGTATTCCACATCCAAACACTTTTCAATCAACTTTAATGTCAATGATAACTGAACGGTATGCAGTATCAACCTCACCCCGCCAAGAATCAACGGACTACACCTTTTCAATACCAATGACCAGTATCGCCGTGACAGGTACATCTAATTCAAATTACTATTATGAGCACATGATGTAAGAGGACATTCTCGTGTATTAAGTCAATACAACGATAGGAATGGTACTGAATACATCAATCCTTAACCATACATATGGTGATGGCTTCAGAAACAATTAACAATGATTATTGCACGCAACAAAACTAACAGTAATTGGCGATCATGCACGGTGATCGGTCATGCAAATGATCTTAGTGATCAACGGTGCATTGCTTACGATCTCGCTTTTGGCATGAGGATGAAACGGATAAATGCAATAAACAGGATATTAAATACCTGATGTTACAATTTTTTAAACGAGTTTTCTTTACTACACTCATTTAACAAATATTGTATTTTTATTATATTTATTCTTAGCTACGCCGCCATGTGGAATTGAC